AGAAAGAATACAAAGAAGATCTTGAAAAATCAAAGACTAAGTCAGAACTCAACTCACCAGCCAACATGGCAACATAAATGCGTTTAAAAAAAAAAAAAAAAAAAAAAGGACAGAATGTTGGAACAGCGGCAGCCAGTCCTAGAGTGCCCAGGCACAAAGCAGTGGCAACCGGGCCCAGAGTAGCAACGGCCAGGCCCCAGAGCAGCAGCAGCCAGAACCAGAGCAACAACAGCCAGCACTGGAGCAGCCAGACCTGGGGCAATGGCAGCCAGGCCTGAGGCGGAGGCAGCCAAGCCCAGGGTGGCCAGTCCAGGAACACCCAGACCCGGAGCGGCCGGGCCCGAAGAAGCCAGGCCCAGAGCAGCCGGGTTGGGAGCAGCCAGGCCCAGAACAGCAGCTGCCAGGCTGGGAGCGGCCAGGCCCGGAGCAGCCGGGTCGGGTGCGGCCAGGCCCGGAGCAGTGGCTGCCAAGCTGGGAGCGGCCAGGCTGGGAGCGGCCAGGCCCGGAGCAGCCGGGTCTGGTGCGGCCAGGCCCAAAGCAGCGGCTGCCAGGCTGGGAGCGGCCAGGCCCAGAGCAGCCGGGTCTGGAGCAGCCAGGCCTGGAGCAGCGGCTGCCAGGCTGGGAGCGGCCAGGCCCGGAGCAGCCGGGTCTGGTGCGGCCAGGCCCAGAGCAGCGGCTGCCAGGATGGGAGCATCCAGGCCCGGAGCGGCTGGGCCCGGAGCAGCCGGGCCCAGAGCAGGCGGGTCGGGTGCTGCCAGGCCCGGAGCAGCAGCAGCCAGGTCCAGAGCAACTAGGTCGGGAGCGGCGGTGACCAGACCCGGAGCAGCTGGTTGTGGAACAAACCAGAGCAACAGAGGCCAGGCCCGGAGCAGCCAGGCCCAGAACAGCTCGCTCCTCGCCTGCCCCTGCCCCACGGCTGCCTCTCAGACATGGCTGGAAACTTTTGTGGGAACTTGAGGGTCTGCTGAATCAAGTGATGAAGGCTTAGATCTGGATGTGTTGAGTTAGTATAGGGCTGGGGTGTTGATCTGTGAGTGCCTTGGGTTGGGCCTGGATGAGGCTGGTTGACCTATTTGGAAATGTCTTTTGTGTGAAATGTATCATTGGGTATGTGGTGGTATTATTGATATGAGAAAATGCTAAGTAACTGATTTACTATCTGAAAAGGGATTTACTATCGGGGAAAGGGAGGGAGGAAGAGACTGAACATAAACTGTGCACCTATGGATGAGGACAATGGGGGATGGGGAGGGGGCAGAGGGTGGGGTGGGAATCTGGTGGAGGGGGGAAGAAATGAGGAACCTTTGTAACAACATGAACAATAAAGATTGATTTAAAAAAATTTAAAAAAAAGATTTAACATCAAAAAATAAAATCACTTCATTCTGACAAGTAATGATTTAAATCGAAATTGTTTCATTGGGGGATAGGGGGTTTGGAGGGATTAAGCAAAAAAGAGAAAGAACTCATAGTCAGTGACAATAGTGTGGTGATTGTGGGGGGTGAGAGGATTGGGTGGAGGTGAAAGAGGGTACAGAGGAGATAAATGGTGATAGAAAACAATAAAACTTAAAAATAAATAGTCTAAAAAAATCAATTGTCTTATTAGAAGAACTTCTAAAGATATTTGGAAACTTGGCTTAAAGCCTTGCAATCTACATTTTACCAAATACTACACAAGACACAAACACATAAATACAAATAAGGCCCTGTCTTCATGGCTGTCAATCTAACAGACAGGCATGTCTCCAAACAACCAACATGTTGTGATATAACAAAACATGTTCAGAGTGTCAATATGGAGGCTGCTACAGATGACACACATCCAGAGATGTTTAAGGGCTAAGAGACAAAGTGATATTTTTAGTTAGAACACAATGAAGTAGGATTTTAATGAGCATTCAAGAGGGTAACAATTATTTCTAGCTAGAGATAAGTATACAAATAGGAAAGGTGCCAAGAAAATGAATCCATGTGGCATATTCAGGGGAGGATACAGTGATCCATGGGTGGTGGGACAACAGCTAGAAATAGGATGGGAGTTTCTCTAACCTTCTACAAGGATACTGAGATACTGAAAGGTTTCAGCAGAAAAGTGGAAAATAATATTTATGATTAACAAAGGAAATGTCTTATGATAGTAAAAGTGGCTGGGTAGGGGCTACTGAAATAGAAGTGGTAAGAAAAAATGATTGAGTCCTGGCCAGTGTGGTTCCATGGTTGAGCATAGTAGACCTGTGAGCCAGATCACAGTTGGATTCCCAGTCAGGGCATATGCCCGAATTGCAGGCTCAATGCCCAGTGTAGGGTGTACAGGAGGCAGCAGATCAATGATTCCCTCTCATCATTAATGTTTCTATCTCTCTCTCCCTCTTCCTTCCTCTCTAAAAATTCTTTTTTTTTTTTTTTTTTTTTTTTTTTCAGAGAGGAAGGGAGAGGGATAGAGAGCCAGAAACATCGATGAGAGAGAAACATTGATCAGCTGCCTTCTGCACACCCCCCACTGGGGAAGTGCCCGCAACCAAGGTACATGCCCTTGACCAGAATCGAACCTGGGACTCTTCAGTCCGCAGGCCAACACTCTATCCGCTGAGCCAAACTGGTTAGGGCAAAACATCTGCATTTTTATTGGTGACAATGTCGCAAGTACTACTAATATTACTATCTTGTGTTGTCTATATTCACAATGAAAGGAAATACTTTTGGTTAGAGGATAGTAAACATAATGATGTCATTTCTTTCATATCCATGACCATGGATCTTAAGTTAAGAAATACTCATATAGACTAAGGTCAATATGAAAGAAAATGATGGACATATTTAGAGAGAGTATATTTCAAATAAATAAACTCTGTTATGTAAAATATTGGCAAGAAGATAAAATAATCCTAGCCTACACTGGACTGATTCCAGAGAGTAAAAAGGAAATATCCCTATATCAACTGTTATTTAACAGTTTCCTTTACTTTGCTAAAAAGAGCACAAACAACGGTAATAGCACCAAGCATGATTCATTTTCAAGATGAATCCCTCCCAGTTCAAAGTTTACATTGTTTTTGACTAGCATCAAACTGTTTATCCACACAAACTGTAAATACATCCTTTTTAGAACTAACCAACAACAATGCCCATTTTGTTTTGACATGTGAAATACAAAGAGAACATGAAGAAAAATGACCATCACTCTAACATTGGTGCTTTGAAAATAAGGACTACCACACAGAATAATGGGGTGAAATTCCAACATAATAAAATTTTTAATAGGTGTTATCAGGAGGAAAATGCCTTCTGAAATTCCTTGCTTTCAAAAGAGAATGCTAAGTATAGCAATCTGTCAAACAGTCTATCATCTCCTCTCCACCATGTCTTCTGGTAACTTTAGGCAAAGAAAGAGCTTAATATTCCCTCTCTGAGCAATAAAGCTGAGAGAAAATAGTATATTTTGACTAAGAAATCCAAGTATGCTCTTCAACTATCTGTTCTTTTACAAATTATAAATCCTTGATTGGCATTTTGCACCTTTCAGCAAAAATATAATTTTAGGAATTTGTTCACAGTTATTTGATCCCTATCTTTGCCCTTGGACTACATGCTACATAGAGCAGAGATGACAATTTTTTGTGCACGATATGCCCAAAACCTACCTTGGAACCGGGTATGTGGTATGCTTAGTAGGGAAGGAAGAATAGGAAGGAAAACGAAGCTCAAAAGAATACTCTCTCTTTCTGGAGATGTGTAAATGTAAGGAATATAAATCTTAATTTATATAATCACTGCATCATTATATGTAATAACCCCATACCAGAAACTCTCCGCATACACATCAACAGTAAGTTAGTGCACATGTCTGGGTTGTGTGCTTAATCCCCAGTAGGAGGCGTGCAGAAGGCAACAGATGGATATTTCTATTACTCCCTCTCCCTTTCTCTCTCTCTCAAATCAATAAAAAGGTGTTTTAAAAAGAGAAAGAAATCAAGTAATCAAGTAAACCTATAAATAACAACATTAACCCCATGAACATGATACTAAAGAAGCTAAATATACCACAATACACTATTCTATAATTCCACTTATATGAAAGAGAACAACAGTAACTAAGGATACTTCCTTAGCAAAGAACTATTTTTAGAAAATGATTACTATTAAGTCAGATTTATGGTTTTCTTTTATGGAAAAGAAGCACAAAAGGGGAGTTCTAGTAATGTTTCATTTATTGGTTGGGGTGATAGTAACACAATTATTTGTTCTAAGACAAATTATCAAGCTGTAGAGTTGTCTTTCTTTCCTGCAATGTATTGGTAGAAATCTCAGAGTTGTATTTTAAAATAAAAAACAAATGATGCTCTAAAATACACATGACTCATGACCATTTTTCTCCAACAATGAATATGAATATAATTAATGAACTATATATAGTATTGTTGGCTTTGGTTAAAAATGAAGTTTTCTGGAAAAGATCTACAGACATGAGATTCAATCTCTAAATGTATGACTATAGTTTCAAACTTCATATTCCGTAAAAACAGCACAAGGAAGTCCTTACATACTGAAAAACTTAGGGAGGTAAGTTTTGTAATAAAGACTGCCATTACTGCCGAAACCAGTTTGACTCAATGGATAGAGCATCGGCTTGGGGACTGAAAGGTCCCAGGTTCGATTACGGTCAAGGGCATGTACTTTGGTTGCAGGCACATCCCCAGTAGGGGGTGTGCAAGAGGCAGCTGATCGATGACTCTTTCTCATCGATGTTTCTAACTCTCTCTCTCTCCCTACCTCTCTGTACAAAATCAATAAAATATATTAAAAAAAAAAAAGACTGCCATTACTATATTGACTTCAATTAATTAAATTATTTAATAAATTAGGAATTCCCAACATGACTTTAAACAGACGTTGTCTTTGCATGAAAAGATTAGGGGGGGGGAATGTATTTTTGTCCCAAACCTTGAAAATTAAAGAGAAGGAGGACTGAAGGGTTAGAGAGAGAAAACTAAGTTTACCATGCAGAGGTGATCCGGAAGGGCTGCTTGAGAGACCTGGAACAGGGCTACAGCGACCTCCTTGCTTAGAAGTCAGTTCTTGTTCAATCTCTTCCAGCCCAGCACTTTTCTGGAAACGGCTCATACGATTCACGACTCGTGGCGACATGTGTGTTCGAACACAAGGCTGGCCACCATAAGGGTTGATTGGAAAAACATGGGACGTCCCCCGAAGAGTACTGACCACAACCCAACGACAATCATGGCTGAAGCAGATGTCTTGTACCTAGAAATGAGATATGGGAAAACAGAGACCTGATTGAAGCTATCTACATTCAGAGCATCACACACAAATCACCAAATATGACTAGAAATACATATCTCTTTACCAAATATACCTAAGATGAAGTTATAAATAAAATATTTTAGTTTACAGATGAGTTTAATGGTGAATAGTGATCAAAACTCCCTATCAGGGACTTGATAAGATTTAGAGTAAGAAAATCTATCCCAAGATGCATAGAGTGGCAAGTCAGAAAACAGGACATATTTAGTTTCACTCTATAGAGTTATAAGAAAAGACATATGGGGGGGGGGGGAAGATATATGAGTCAGGTTTATTATTCTAAATGAGTTTGCCTTCTAATAAGTACTAAGAACAAAGAGGTAAATAAGAAATAATCCTTGGGCTCACGGCCTAACAAAAGGAAAAGCCAAATAAGAAACTTGTGAAAATATAATATGTAAAGGTGAAATAACTATCTTATGTATAAGGCACAGTGGTAACCAAAATAAAAGGAAATATATGAAATCTACTGGTGAGGCAAGAAAATGAATTGGCGAAGGTGGATGGTTAGAAATGGCACAAAAAAACATTTTATAAATAGGTATGGAATTGCTCTTTGAAATAGGATATACTTACAAAGAAAGGAGAGGAGGATATTCCAGTAGAGATATATCAGGTATATCACATGTTCCATTTTAGATATAAATGCATAGACATAAAATGGTAATGATGGGCAACTAGCTCAGTATGTCAGAAACAACATGAGAGTCAGCAAAAGAGAAAGCAGGATGTGCCTGGCTTTTAAGAAATAATGATGTCAAGATTTCAATTTTGGAAGGATGATTCTGGGAGTCAAATATAAGGAAGCAGGTTTGTAGTGTGGACAAGGATAGCTGAAGGAAAACTAAGTAGAAGCTGCCTTAATAGGTAGGGATCCAGGTGGGATACTCAGGAGAAAAGGCTCAAAACACTCTGACAACCCAAATGCCCATCAGTGCAGTATATACGCCATGGAGTATTAGTCAGCCTTGAGAAAGAGGAAATCCTGCCATTTATGACATGGAAGAACCTTAAGCAAAGAATGCTAAGCAAAATAAATGAGAGAAAGATAAAGTACTTTATGATTTCACTTATATGTGAAATCTGCACACACAAAAAATAATCAAGCATGTAAAAAAACAGAGGGTAAAATGGTAGTAACCAGGGGATGGGTGATGAGATAAGACTGATAGCATTTAAGGGCATAAAACTTGCAACAAGTAGTAAATAAGTCAGGGGTCTAATGCATATTATAACGAACACAGACAATAACAGTGTACTATAATTATGTAATGTGATAAACATGGCTACAATGGCAATCATTAATACAATATACAAATCTGCCCCGCCACTGTGGCTTCAATTCCAGGTCAGTGCTCATCCCTGGTTTCAGGTTCCATCCCCAGTAGGGGGTATGCAGGAGACAATCAATGATTCTCTCTCATCATTGATGTTTCTCTCTTTCCCTCTCTCTCTCTCTCTCTCTCTCTCTCTCTCTCTCTCTCTCTCTCTCTTCTTCCTCTTTGAAATCAATGAAGATACATGTGTTTTATTAAAAGTAGATGTATAAAGGTAGCATGCTGCACACCACCCTAATGAAAAACAAACAAATAATGAACTGTGATTAGCTGTTGTAACTTTCCATAGATCAAGGCTGGCCACAGACTTGATCTATGAAAGTTAGTCACTAATTTGCATAATTAAATTAACAAATTAAATTTACTAGTTTTATCTTGATATCAGATTATTGGTGGCAATTTTAACAAAATGCCTCCATTTACTTCTATACTTTTATACTTTTAAAAAAGCCAAATAAGATTCTATATTGTTTTAAACATTTTTAAGCATATCCCTAAAAGAAGGACAAGTTACAGATATTTAAGATTTCTACACTCACTTATTGATATTCTATAAGAAGTTTCAATATTATTTGGTATTAGTTTCAGGTATACAGCATAATAGTTAGGCAACCATATATTAAAAAGTGTCGTCCCCCCCCCAATATTTCCAGTACCTACCTGGGATCATACAGTTATTATAATACTCCTTGTGCTATCTTTGACATCCCCATGACTATTTTGTAACTACCTATTTGTATTTAATCCAGAGGGACAGATGAAAGAGGTGGAGGTATTAAGAAATATTTGAAAAATTAATAATAATTATTATAATAATTTTCTAGCATACAAAAGAACTGTCAAACAGTGCTGAAAAAAAGACCCCAGACAATGTAAAAGTATGGTAGAATATAAAATGTCTGTGAGTTGGATTTTTAACAGGAAAAATATATACACGTATTTATACTTATAGGAATATATTAGCTTCATTACAACAATATGGGCTAAGTAAAAATCCTCTAGCAATCAACAAAGCCAACTTTCCCATATTAGATCTTCATGTAAACCCAAGTTCGCATTGCAAGACTATTGCTATACAAAAATACAAGGAAAAACCCCAATTCAATTGCATGCCTGTTCATTTCAATTTCTTTCAAAAGTAAAATGTTAACATTATAATTAAAGAATCTCTTGAGAGCTGATAAATGTAACTCCCAGGAATTCTAGAATTATGAATAAACAGTCATTCCACTGTTTTAACTCTGTACTTTGCCTATGAAAACTTTCACCTAAACTGACTTATTGAAAAGCCAGACAAAAGAAAATAGCAAGACAAAGAAAAGTGTAAATAGCAAAGTAAGAGAAAAGAAACACAGTAACAGGCAAATTTAATATCATAATATCAAATGCATTTAACACAAGCCAGAATCAAATACAGAAAGAAAAACATTTTGGGGCATATTGAGTAATTTATGTCCCATCACAGTGGAACTAAAGCACGTTATCTAAAACCTTTTTCCAAAACACTTATAATCAAGACCACTTCCTGATCTGTCAATGAAAAGGAGTTTCCCTCTTTCATTTTAACAATACTTCTGATATGAGGTGGTGCTAACAATTAGTATCAAGGCAGGAAGACAGAATTCCACCTAAATGCTTACTTAGGAAACTGCTATTAGAGCACGGAGTCTGCTCCATGACCTTGAAGACATATTAGGGGACATTAATGAGCAGAGGAGGGTTACTACAGACATTGACTGTCAGGAGACTAGAGCAAGTTTAATCCTTTGAATAACATTACAGAAGATAACAGGTCACCTACCCACAAAATAAAAAATTGATATAACTGTGGGTATTATCAAAGAAGTTGGGTGGTTTTTCATAGATCATTAAAAACAGGAAATCTCAGAGAGGGGTGGGGGAAGAGATCAACCAAAGAACTTTTATGCATATATGCATAACCCATGGATCCAGACAGTAGGGTGGTGAAGGTCTCGGGGGAGAGGGGGCGAGAATGGACTAGATGTGGTCAATGGGGGAAAGGGAAGTATTCAATATATGTAATACTTTCGACAATAAAGATTTAAAATAAATACATAAATAGTTTGGTTATACATAATGGCAAACCAGTAGTAAGAAGATGGCATCCCCTGCATTATTTATAGACCTCAATTTGAGAATATTTCTAGTTAAGATTTTCTCATCACAAAACAGGAAAGCTATAAGAGAGTTGTACCTCTGGTTTAGCTCTGCATTACTAAATATCACGGCAAATAATATTGACCAGGTCAGGCAATATTATACTATTTTTGTACTATGGGTCTGCTAGTGAGAAACATGGAATCCTTTTTTGTAGAAGATAATATTTTGCTTATTTGAGACTCTAGGCTAGTAATCAAATAGATTCCAATGCTCATCTGAATTATCTGAATTTTTTAAAATACCACTGATTTAATAATACAAAAGAACAACATTATATAACAGACATACATGCACATGGAACAATTATGTCCATACATAAATTGTGTAATTAACTCACAAAACAGGTTAAATTCAAATTACATATGAAACAAGAAGATTTGAGCAGTACAATTATTTTTTATGCATAATTGTTTTGTTTTTATATTTTCTGTTCTCTCTTTTGAGCACTAGAATTAAATGTCCCTACATATACACATCTAAGACGCAAAAATCAGCATCTTACAAGTCTCTAAATACAACCCAATTACCTGATATCAGTGATAAAAATTTAGGGTCGTTTTGACATTCTAAAATCTAAAGGAAATCCATATTATAACTCAATAGCTATGGAGGAATGGGAGAGTCATGACAGAGATATGCACAATTTTAAAACACTTGGATAATGACTGTGGTACAAATCTAAAGTCTGTAATGTAGAGCTAAAAAATATAATAAAGTGACCAGAAATGAAAGTTCCCCCAAAACTATATCAAACCTTAAGTGATTATAGAAAAGATTATTTTTTAAAAGAAATGAAATAACTCCTGAAACTAATATAACATTGAATGTAAACTATAATTTGAAAAATAAATACATGAAGTAATAGCGATGATTTCCCAGGGTGTAAGAAGGGCAGAAGATTTGAATGGAGAGAGCAGGAGGAAACTTGCTGGGATTGTATCTAGACTGAGGTGATGATCATACAAATGTACTGAGTGGATGGCAAATCAAACACCCATCTTCAAACTTCACGCCCTCACCTGACACCATCAAAATGTTTTTCCAGCCTCTCTTACAGTAAGTGTTGACATCACTGTAATCTGTCAGACAAAAGCAGGATTCTGGAAAGTATCCACTTTCCTGATAAAAGGAATTAACATCACTGATGCTTCCCTTTCTCCCCCGACCTTACTGCCTGGAATTGAGAAATGATGTCCAGAGCAGTGGCAATACATGAGAGAAAGAACAAAAATGTCAAAGACACTGTTGAGCAATTGTACCAAAACCAGCAGCAGCCTTCTTAAAAATTGAGAAAATAAACCCTGATTTTTTTAAAAGCATTGTTAAATGTGATTTTACTTCTATAGCCAAAGACATGCCTAATGACTCAAATACCAATTACCCCAATGCTCTTAAAGCAAAAGAAAACACAAAAGCGGAAAG